GCAAACTTTGTGTTATGGAATTGTATCACAGAACCGTTAAGAGAAGTAAAAACATTTTTGCTGTTTTGTATGACACCCTCTTTGAATGAAATTTCAATGTTTAAGCGCAAACATTAAAATTACTAACTTTGAATTTTGTCAATATCTGCAAAATGTTCCACTCAAATCCTTCCGCTATCGCGTTTCTAATCTTCTCTGATAAAAAAATCGTCTATGATGTCCAGAATTGCTCTTTACAACTTGTCTGCCATTCCAGCTTTCCAAGTGAGCAAAATTTCATAGATATAAAGATTATTTTCTTTCGTTACAGGCGCAAAAAGGCAGGTACTACACGGAAAAAAGACGCCGAGCAGCAAAAGCGAGCGGAAAACGGTCGCGAAAGGCGACGAGAAATATGTGCATTGGAGCGTATCATGAAATACAATCTTTCGCCTGTAGTCTTATGGAGTGACGTCAGAGTTGCCTATCATGTTGTTTAATGTCATTGGTGTGACAGAGTGCAGTCGTCTGAGTGTTTCGGTTGGATTGGTGGGTTTTGAATGTCTGTGTGAATGCCTCTGGTCTTCAGGGATGTTTGTCTGTGTTGTGTGACTGTCGGATGTGTTGTGCTGGACAGTGGGCTGACGTAGGGACCATGTTATTGTTTTTACCAGTACAGTGCCATTACAGTTCATTTACCGTAGTGTTGTATTTTCAGTTTTATCGTGGAATTAGCTTTCATCAGTATTGTTCAAATGTTGTGCATCTATAGAATTGTTTATAGTCTTTTTAAATGCCTGTCATAAGTTACTTTCGGCCTGTTTTGCAAATTGCAGTAGCTAGTTCATTGTACCAGATTCTAGGGGTCATTTGGTTTTTTATTCAGAGTTGTCTTGGATTTCAGGGTTGGTCAGTGTTTTTGTTGTGTATGTGGTCTTTCTTGCATTTTACTGCCTGGTATCTGTTATTTTTATTTTATGCTTTTCGTTCCTTTGGGGAGTGTTTGGTTGTTTTGGATCGTTTACTGTTCGAGTTGTTAATAAATGACATAAAATAGCATAAAGACTTGGACTATTGAGAGAAAACTTGACGTCAGATCATATTAGAAGATATTCTGAACCTGGATAATTATTTCATACATTGCCGGTACGCTACAATATCAAGAAAGCAGTATAGGCGTTTGCAATAACTTGGGGGCGCTGATGGCGATTTGGGCAACTGAGGGACGCTGGCTGTCAAATTGGAGGGCACTGACATCAATACGGGAACTCACAAGAAGTGTGGTATTTCATGTCATTTACTCCTATGTTTTGGTTCGAACTAGTTTGCTTGTGATTTCGGTGTTGGAAATTTTTTGCTTAACGTAGAACAGGTGTTATGACTTTTTTAAATTCTTATTGTTTCATATTTATACTAGTCTAGAAAGAGCATACGGCATATGCGTCCTTCACCATGCACTGTTTCGTTGTACTGTATTGAATAACAGCTTCATTTTACTATTGAGTTCTATGATGCTTTGAAGCGATAGTGTAAGTACAACACCCTTATGTCATATTTTTGGTTTTGTTAAGAGCAAAACGGCATCAGATAGGATAAACTGATTTATATTAAAAACAGTATTATACAGCGGGGTTCCCAAAAAACGGAACCATCAATTTCCTAATTACTTCAACAAAAATGGAGTGAACCATTTAATTTTGTCTTTACTTGAACTTCTGTTTGCGTATGTTTGTACCCTAAAGTGTCACAAAGTCCAGGACGTTTTGCACAAAAATTATATTATTCTTGGAATATGTTCCAAATGCGTCATTGAAGAAAGAATTGCATTCTTCTTGCAACATTGTCAATCACTCTTCTTTGGGTATTACGGCGCGGCGGTGTGGCTCAACGGGCTAAGCGTTAGGAATACGCTCGCCACCGCACCTCTAATTGCTCTGCAAGGGTTCGCAGGTTCGTATCTCATGCACGGATGGTTATGTGCGAAAGGATTGCTGGACTCCTCGCCGTCGTTGGGTGGTTCACGTAACCGCTGGTCGGTTACGGCTTCCTCTACCACCAAGTTCATGCTTCCGAAAACAATATAGCAATATAACTAATCCCATACCCGACTTGGAATGGTAACCGGACGAGAGGCCGTGGTTCGCCATATGCGTATGCGTCTTATCGGATTTCCTCTCCCCCGGGATAAATGTGTAAATCATATCCTTCTCTATTTTATTTATGCAAATGCAGCCTTGAGTTCACCAATCGTTTGGGAATTGTCCTGATACAAATTATACTCCGAACACGCTACATATCAAAATCTGAGAGGTTTCAGTCCGATAATGATGGTGCTCACTGGATATCACTGCTGTCTTTTCACTCCGGAAATCATGCGTCTGATTTGGTGTATGGGGGGTCGCTTTGTCATGCTGGGACCACTGCGGGTCACCACTATCAATCCATCAAGTCATGTTCAGATTTTTCTTGGCACAACCACGTAATGTTCTGAATTCACCGTTTGAACTCATTCATTTTCATGTCCTGACAGCAGAAGGTGCGCTTCAGCAAAAAGCTAGGTGAGTGGTTGGAAACTACTTGTTATAATCATACGCAAACAGAAGTTCAAGCGCAAATAACATTAAATAATTTTTTCGGAGATACTTAAGAAATTTTTGGTTTTTGTTTTGTAGATAACCCTGAAATTCCAGAAGCAAAAATGCACCACTACCATTGAGTTTATACTTTAAACCCATGTTCAGTCTCCCGGTGTTCCATCGAATTGAAATATCTTCACGTGCGAGATTGGGTCTGGCCCTTGACAGCTCATTCTGGGTAGAGCGTGTATTTAGTGTAGTGACCGCACTTTTACATATCAAGAGAGATTTTCTCTAAAAACCTAATTTAAACGAATTCGTGAAAAATTTGCTGCTGGATCCTTTCCCGGATACTTTTACCCAAATTTGCTTTAATGAAAGATCGATCCATGGACATCCATTTTCCAAGTCTTCGTTTTTCAGGCGCTTTCATGAGGCCCATTTTAGAAAAAAAATATGTTGAGCCGAAAAGTGCCATATTTGGAGCCACGATTTTTTTCAAATGTGGAAAGTTATCTTGGTTGAGATGTTTTCGGTAAAAATCGCCAGGATTCATTCTCAAATATTTTGCTTTCAAGTCTTATTTTAGATTAGATTTAGACAAAATCAAGTGATAGACTGAAACCAAAACTTATTTAGCTTTTTATCTCGTAATATTAATTTTGCTTTTCAACTGCCTAATCTTCAGTTGCCCGTTCTGACTAATTCATTAGCGTTTGCTCCGCACTTTCCTCAAATTGCTCGCTGGTCTCGCTAGCGTAACGCCATAGGCATAGATAATAAATTGGACTTGGATATAAGCTCTGCAACGCAAAGGGAACCATGATGAAACTGAATTAAAAACCCACTGGTCGCACACCATTCAAACTTGGGACTTCTCCGCGGGCCGCACATTTATTTTTTGCGGGCGCAAACCCCTGATTTAAAACATGCACCGCCTGGATATTACATTCCCGATGACAAGAAAGCTTCCCCGTATCTGATTTTCACAAATTGTGTGTGGTTGCAGCAGTGGTTGCAGCAAACCACGACACGTCAGATACGAATAATTCTGTGACCTCTGACCCTGGTGCACACTCTTGAATTGTCAAATATCCCAAATGAATATTTATAGCTAGGCTTACCATACGTCCCGCTTTAGGCGGGACAGTCCCACTTTAGGCGGGACAGTCCCACTTTTGACCTCTTGTCCCGGCGTCCCGACTGGCCAGCCAAATGTCCCGCTTTGGCATTAGGCCAGTCAGCATAATACACGAATATTACCAATTAGCTTAGCCTGTTCTCGATACTGTTGTTGCTATGTAGCGTACCGGTAGCCTACATACTGAAGGTGGATGCGTAGTTTTGTTTGTTTCGTTGTTTCCCGCTAGCATTGTTGGCGGATAATTGCTACAATTTGCTACGCTTAGGACGAAAGGGCGCTTAACGTATTTTTTCCTATCAACCTCATATTTTCCGAACTAAAACCTATATATATTTAGACAGACAGCGCATGAACTCTCGATGACAATATGGCCAATGAAGACAGCCTGGATGGTTTTAAATGCAGGCCCCTAATGTAAAATCGGTAAATTTAAAGTTGAAAAAAAAATCACATCTATGGTCTTTGGAGGCGTCCCGCTTTTTGGTCACAAAAATATGGTAGCCCTATTCGTAGCCTATTAGCTACACACTGCCACGCTGGTATAAAAACCAAAAATTTATTTCAAAAGTTCAATCACTATTATTTTCCTGTAGAACTTTTTTTTCTGCAAGTTTGCTCAATGGCAAATCACAAGATGAAAGTGGGAGGAGTACTGTAAAATAGGTGCCATCAACAGCCGTTGTGTCAAAAAATTCAATAAAGGTATGAACTTGTCAGGCTTGTAAACTTGTGTATTTTATATTAGTAAATGTAGGCCTGCTTAATTTTTCCTGACGAAAACAGCCTTGTATTATTTCTGTTTGAAATATTCAGCCTATTTAATCTATACAATCGTACCATGTTGTGATATACAGAAATAATGATTAGTATTTGAGAACCAAGGTCTGGATAGAGTATGCGCAATTTTTTGAACTTGGTATGTCCACGACTTCTAATTTCAAACCAGGTGCATTGAGCTAATCCATTGGTCTCTCTTATTTATCGGTTTGTAAGAAAATGGCATATAGAAACTATGTCCATCATAAAAAGAACAAACATGACATAATATTCACCCACAAATTTCGCTCTATGGCTATGAACATATCCAAGTTGAACGAAGATTAAAATATCAGGTTCAGTAATTTGGTTGAACGAATTTAGTTTAATTTGGAGTTCTTCATCTTTGGCATTTATGATTAAGCTCACGTTGACGTGCCTTCATTTTGTTTTGTTTTTCTCAATTCTTTCTCCCCTGCCACAGAATCACACATTTTGTTATTAATTATGGATTTTATTTTCTATATTCGAAATAAACACAATGTTTCATGATAACTTTATCATATATCACGTCATAATCGAATAAAATATAGTGAATATATATATTTGAAATGCACAAGACAAAATATACTTTGTTCAGGAAAGCGTCGCTTTTCAACCACAACGGGCAAGCTCAATTATCGCTCACAGCTGCAAAAAATAAATTTAATTAAAAAATGCTGGCTTAATATTAGCTCGTGGAGGAATAGATTCCAAAAGAAGTATAGATTGTTAAATAATATTTTGTATAGCATTATAAGACCCTATAGGCATATTATGTAAATCACCGCAATAAAATAACACCGCTATTCTGAACAAAACTTTATACCAGTGGTCGGCAAACCTCATATATTACTTGGTCAAATATTCACACTTTCAATAACGTGCCCCATTAATTTTCACATATGAACAATCGCCACATTAAACATCAAAGTATGGCGCAATCGCGAATGGTTTGGCTGATTAGGTGAACAAAATTTAAAATGCTCAACAAGCAATATTCTACCGTACAAGGACTTTGAAATGTTTGATCCTAGTCTTTTCAAACATTTTAATGCTAAATGTTACTAATCAAAATAAACTAAACTGATAATACAACTACAAATGATCAAATGTATGTAGCATGTAGCTAATGACATACACATACAACTGAAAATTGCTAATGCTACTCACTACAGAACAAACGCTGTACAACAACCCTTGTTAGAGAATAAATCCACAATTTTCGAATTGAATAGGTTTGCGCGTTCGGCTGTTTTTGTGCATTATAAGTTAAGTAATTGGTGGACCGCAAAAACTTCGCCGCGAGGGTCCAACCACTGCCCCAGACAATCAGTCGATGGAATCACTGGTGCTTCCCGATCTAAATATGAACAGCCTAAAAAATCACCGTTTTAATATAATTTACTTAATTTATTACAAGCTGAGTTAGAACTGAGTGTATTTTTCAAGATTTTGGTCCTTCCAAAAAGAGCAGCACTTCGAGACTCTTTTCCACACGTCTATTTAGAGTGAAGGTTGAAAGCGCGGTGTTGGAAAAGATTGGGGTCACACAACGGCCCGCAGTGGAAGATTCAATTTGAGGAATGTGAAATTAGTTATTTTGGGTTCAAACAAGAACATTTACAATAACCATATGGCAAAGTCAATCACGAAGAACCGACAATGTAAGCTAGAAATCTGGTGGTTATTTTTGAATATATACTGTATCAAACGTTGATCAGTACCAATATCACAATTGCAATGTTACTTACTTAATAATGATGAATATAAATGTTCCTTGACTACGCCCGTTTGTCGGTCACAATATCGAGCTAAAAAGTAGAAGAAATATTAAGTTACGGAAAATGAATAGTTTCTTTGTGAATGGTTCATAGTTAGATTATTAACCCGGAACAAAAATAAGAGATGAAATGCTAAAAACATCATAAATTAAGCAAATCTCAAGTTATTTCAGAAGTTCTCTTCTCCCCTCTTTCATAACAAACGAAATTTTGCCGATGCGGCAAAATCTGTTTAATTTCATTAATAGGAAATCTCTCCCGAGTGAGAGAAAAGCACGGAATTGTATTCGAAGATTTTCAATCCATTTTGGTAATAACTTCGTTGCCCCATTTGATGTACATTTGTTCCAAATCATTGCCTCGGAAAGAGGTTCGGGGCCAGAGTTTAGTTTAGTAAAAAACTGAGTGTGTTAAATTAATAGTTTTAATTAATTTTTTTAGTTGTTAAAGTGGAATACAATTCATTTCAGCCTAAGCTAATTACCAATTTACCTCGCTAAATTGAAGTTTGTTTGTTTGTAGAACATCTAAGGCCGATTGATCAATATCCCAACCTGACAGGATAAGCTTTTGCTTCACTGCGTGAAACAACCCACAAACACTTCTAATCATATCTTGAGATGGCTTGAAATGTTCCTTGAGCATAAGTATTGGCAACTATACGGAATAGAAAAAATAGGAATATTTCCAATATAAGAGTCTTGCTGCAGACTAACACAAGTATATTTCTGTACTGTTACGTCTGACCAAGGATCACAGAACATATTAAAAGTATTAAATTAAACAAGAGAGCTATGCTCAAATATATGAGCACGTAGCGCCACCCAATGGCAATAATTTTGATGACGTCATAGCGAAAAAAAAGTGATAGCCTTCTGGAGAAAATTTTATCTTTAACCACTAAAAATTTCAAAGCAATTGGTCCAGTATTCGAAAAGAAGAGCGATTTTTTGAAAATGACGGAGACAAATAACAATAGCAACATAATATTGAAACGATCGCTATGTCCACTATGTGTCCAAAAAAAACGACCTGGTCGTCGGTGCTCACTTCAATAGTGTAATTGGAATTGAAAAACTATTTCCTGACCATATCTATCGAAAAACTGAAGAATCGTATTTTATTCACCTACTTGGGTCGCATGAACCATTAGGAATAAACAGTGAAAAGGTTCAAGGCATTATGAGATATTTATTACACCAGTTAAATTAATTTTTGTGTTTTCAATTTTTATGCTGTTAATTATACAAGAACCATTTTACGGATTTTTTAACATGCTTAACTCCCATTGCTATGATATTGTTTGCTATGTTGATTTGGTACCCATTGTACAAATGTGCGTACAATTTCTTTTTGTAGCTGAATTATGTATGTCTAATGAAGTCTGACCTTGGTCAGACGACACGTTACAGAAATATATATATTTGAGTGTTAGTGTGCGGCAAGACTATTAAATCACCTAGGTTAGTTATCTTCACTCTTGCTACTGAATCATTACATTATATGAATACGGATCCACCGGCACAAAAGCATAGAAGGCGGAAAAGTAATTAGTCTCGTAGAAACACAAATCGATAGCAAATTTCAAATACAGTTAGCACATTATTTAAGGAAATAGAGCAATATAAAAGAGTAAAATTTTCATACGCAGTCTTTCCCTTCTTCGGTACATTGCTACATTTTAGTTCGTACCTTCAATTCACTTTCTGAAGCTCCTTTTGCAAACCAATCGAGTTTTTCACATTTTAGACTGCAAATGCAAATCGCCAAGCAATCCGGTCTGGTGATTGATGCAACATAGGCCAACTTTCCGAATACTGAAGGTTCCATTGATTTATCATTGTTAAGTGCTAACACTTTGAGCTAAAAATCGTGTATTTTTTGGAATTTAAACTACTTTACACAAGATAAACGCATACACTTTACATTGTCATCATATGCGTTTATATGAACATATACATTTGCTGCAAAGGTATAGCGTTAACGACTCTGCTCTTCAAAATGATGACTCTTCTTTTCTGTTCCTTTTATTCTGGTGCTTTCATTGTATACCGTACCAATAAAAAATTTGTGTCCACTATTCTTTCTTTTATTGTTTAAAAGTAATTAACAAGATTTTAAATAAATACCTTTAAATCGATGTTTGATGCTCCTTGTGCAAACGATTCGAGTTTTTCACTTGTCAAATTGCACTCGATAAATTCCAAGCAATCAGGTTCGGTGATAGACGCGACTCGAGCAAGTTCACAAAAAGCTGAGGGCTCCATAGTTGTAACTTCTCGAAATTGCAACGTGTCGAGCTGAAAATGTGGAAGTTGAGGAAGCACGTTTATTCGTTATTGCAGTGGAGCTCGAACTACAGTTTGTGAGATATAGGAAGTGTTGCAGGAATATATTGTTCCACTCAAATGTCTTATCAATTGCACCTATTCTTATGAACCACATATCCAATTCGCCTCAACTGTACACCATTCCACCGCATGTCCGCCTGATACATTTTGTGGCCTTTCTCCAACTTGTACAACATATAATTCTTGTACATCTTGTTTTCCTTACGCTAGTACTGTACTATTTGTCTTACGTGCAAAATCAGTACCACTTCATTCATTTAACAGTTGCATCGCTATTTTACAACTTGTATTTCTGTCCTGTATACCAAAGACTCATGCCATTCTTGATTTATGTAACACTCGTCGTTTTGTACTGTTGATAATTTGAAGATAGTTTCCTTTCTTTCTTAACATTCACAACTTTTTGTAAATATACTGAACATTAAATGACTGATAGATTGATGATTTTTGCTATTATTATTCATAATTATTCTGATAAATTTTCAATTGCATCATTTAATAAAATGCAGATTTATGCTTATTTGTGATGCGCAATGTATTGTTTTGGACTCACCTTTAGCTCCTTCTCTGCGGCTCCATGAGAAAAAGCTTTAAGTTGGTCATTTGTTATCCTACCACTCATAAACGAAAATATCTTTGGCCTGGTTACTGACGCCACTTCGGCAAGCTTATTAAATGCGGAAGAATCCATAAATTTGTCTTCACCCAGTTGAAACATGGTGAGCTAGAATAATATATGTTAAGAATTCTGAGACATTCCATCTATATTAAAACGTGACCGCTGTACAAGCGCATATGTTGTGTTGTCGTGTAACCAAAATCGATTAATGAATCTATGAAAAAAACAGAAAAATTTCTGTGAAATATAGAATATTGGAATAAAGATAACTTCCTTATAACTTATCATCAGTTATAAGCGTTCAAGTGGATATCTTTTAACATGGCATTGTTCAAATCAAAGAGTAAATACACATTGGAATTCTTACTTTTAGTCGATGATCAAAAGCTCCTTTGACAAAGAAATCCAGTTTATCACTTGTTAAATTGCAGTTGACTAATATTAAAACATCCAAATTAGTAATTGATGCTGCTTGAGCAAATTTACCGAAGCATGGAGGTTTCATCGACATTTCATTTTGGAGAACAACCGCGTTAAGCTAGAATACAATATCATGCTTGTCGATTTAATAAATAATATTCCGTCTTTTTTCATATATTACTATGCAGCTTATTATCATTATACAGTTCCAATTGGAGAAAAGTTGGAGGGAGGGGAAGAGTTCGTGAAATCGTATTTTCATAGGAAATTTAGGAATGAATAAATTACTATAAATAAAGTATTAGCTTTCTAGGGACAACAACATTCAGTATAAAGATTTTGAAGGAATGGGTCGAATAATCTTTTTCCATATATATATACTGATGGTTTAAAAGGAATATGAACTCTACCTCACAAAAAATTAACGATAAGCCCTGCTAACGATAAGTATTTAAATAAATGTTTCATAACAAGATATTTCAACTCTTTCATACTAGCTTTGTACCTTCAATGTATGATCCAAAGCTCCCTTTGCGAATGAATCAAGTTTATCACAGGTTATATCGCAGTTGTCAAAAGATAAGACATCAGGTCTGGTTACTGACGCAACTTGTGCTAATTTGCTGAACGCCGATGTCTTTTCTCTTTGAATGATTAGTTGCTGGAGCTTGAACAAATACGGCATCAAATATTAAGTGTACATTGATATATCAAATGAGTAATTAAAACGTAATGTCACCTGTCGCCACAGCATATCATCCCTACAGAAACAGCATATACATAATGTAACTATTCAGTGTGTCACAGTTAGTCACAATTAAGTACATTCCGTGCTCGTTGGGAAATGGTGGTTTCAGAATTTCACAGAGGAAACGGTTTGACTTAAACGAAATCATTAAATTTAACATTTGTAGAAAATCGTGCAGTTCTTTATGCAGGCCTAAGACTTGCGGTCAGTCGCCTTCAATAAGTCAGGCGATTATTAAGAATGCAACAGTACATTAACATTTTGGAACTAAAATTGCCTCACATTGATTCAAGTTTAGGAGCAAATGTGAACCAAGACTCGTGAGGTTGGAATTCTGTTAATTAAAGAACCAGACTTGAATGCCAGAATAAAATCCTTACTTTAAAACGATTATCAGCAGCTTCTTCAGTGAAAGCATCAGTAATCAGTAATCAGTAATCAGTAGTTTATTTCTCACCATACTTAAAATAGGCACAAACATACAAATTGCAATAAATTAAATTATAAATTGGCCATATTTCAGGGTGAAGGAGACGCGAGAAACCAATACTGGTTATCGAGCAGCGGCACCTATCGAGTTTGTCATGTGTTAAATCGTTGTTGCTGAAGATAAGGATCCCAGTATTTGTAGTTGATGTAACTTGAGCGAGTTTTCGAAATGCTGCAGGTTTCATCGATTTTTCATTCTCAAGATTCAATCCATTCAGCTGGAAAAAATATCAGACATACAATATGCAGTATTTAGTGAATAGGGGCGAAACCTTTTGGAGAATGGGAAAATATTTTATCTCTATTACGAAAAGATGACTGTTGGTCACAATATATTTAAAAAATGTCTTCGAAAATCCTGCTTAGTTGATGCAACTTGAGAAAATTAACGAAATGCTGCAAGTTTCATCCATTTTTTAATTTATTGAGTTGAAAGAACAAACTTTCGTTCTGAGACTGCATTACAATCTGAAAACATCTGACTATTCACAAACTCTTAGTCCATTGAAGTATCTTATTGGACACGGAGTGAACCTATTGATCGTTTTCTTATTATGTTGTTTTTGTTCTTTATTCATTGTTCTTCTTCTTATTGTTTTTCTCTTTAATTACTGGAACAATTGCTTTAAAAATTTTAGTGGGTTAAGATTGTATTTTTCGCTCGTAGGCGTTTACTTCTTTATTTTAAATATTTTTTGAGCCCTGTGGGAGTTGTTTATCGTGCGCTTTGGCGTCATTAAAATTTGCGCACCTTGTGGCGATTCCGCGAACGCATATAAGCAGTCTAGTGCTCATCAAACGTCGACGGATTTCGTGTTTAGCGTAATTGGGAAGTTTTTCACGGGGAACGGTAGACTGCGATACCTGATCGAATAATACAGAAGTTACATGGATCAGTGTGTATTTTAAGTCACGTTGAAATTCAATCACAACGAATGTATAATCGTCACAGGACCTGGAAGCTATGACAGTCCCTGTAACATTACCGCTGCCCTGGGTAGTCGACTTGGTTGGAAAAGAAAAAAAAATGATTATGACTATAAACTTCTACCTCAAGCAAACGTAACGATAAGTTTCATAAATTATCTCAATGAAAATGTTTCGTGGCAAGACATTTCAACTCCAATACTATGCTTGTACCTTCAACGCATGATCTGAAGCTCCCTTCGCAAATGAATCAAGTTTATCATACGTCAGATCGCAATTGTCAAAACACAAGACATCGGGTTGGGTTACTGATGCAACTTGAGCTAATTTACTGAACGCCGATGTATTTTCTCTTTGAATGATTAGTTGTTGTAGCTGAAACAAATACGGCCTCAAATATTAGGTGTACATTGAAATATTAAATGATTATTTAAAACGTAATGTAACTTGTCACAGCAAACCATCCTTACAGAAATAGCAAACACAAAATGTAAAATGTGCAAAAAAATGAAAAAGTTTGTCTACTATTTTTTTTAACAAAATATTTAGTGAATTTTTTTCAAACTATTAACTGTGTGAGTCTGGCAATTAAGTTTATTCTGTGGTCGATGGGAAATAGTTGTACCAGAATTTTTTGCAAAGATGTCATGTTTGATTTCCGAAATAATAAATTTAATTTTCGTGAAAGGCGTGCAATTCGAAATGCAGACCAGAGAATCGCGGACAGCCGCCTTCACTAAGTTAGGCGATTATGAAGAATGCAACAGTACAATAATATTTTGAAACTAAAATTGGCTCGTATCAATTGAAAATCAGAAGCAAGTGTGACTCACAAGCAAGGCAAGACTAATGAGATTGAAATTCTGATAAGAACCGGACTAGAATGCAAGTTTCAGATTCTTACTTTCAAACGATTATCAGCAGCAGCTCCTTCAGCGAAAGCATCGAGTTTGTCATTTGTTAAATCATTGTTGCTGAAGGTTAGGATCTCAGTATTTGTAGTTGATGCAACTTGAGCGAGTTTTCGAAATGCTGCAGGTTTCATTGATTTTTCTTCAATGACATTCAATCTATTGAGCTAGAGAAATATAAGACAAAATACAGTATATAGTTTGGGAACGGCAAAGCATTTTAGGGCATGGGTCAAATAGTAGATTTTTTACATGAAAGGAAAGACTATGGGCCATAGATATTTAAACAATGTCTGTGAAAAACACGCTCGGTTGTAATTGTTTCATTGGACATGATTGTGACTATGGAGTGCCCCTTTCCGAGAAATTAAAGATCAGTCCTGTAAATTAACTAATACAAATGTTTCATGGCAAGATATTTCAACTCGAATACTATTTTAGTACCTTTAACGCATGATCTGAAGCCCCCTCTGCGAATAAATCAAGCTTTTCATACGTTACATCGCAGTTGTCAAAGGATAAGACGTTGGGCCTGGTTACTGAGGCAACCTGAGCTAATTTTCTGAGCGACGATGTCTTTTCTCTTTTAACGATTAGTTGATGAAGCTGAAACAGATACGGCTTTAAATATTAATCGATAATTGAAATACTAAATGATTATGTGAAACGTAATGTCACCACAGAATATCATCCTCACAGAAATAGAAAATAAATCATGTAAAATGCGCAAACGAATGAAAAATCTTGTAGGTCGTTGTTTTGTAAACAAGATTTAGTAATATATATATATCTTTTAAATTATTCACTGAGTCAGCCCGGCAATTAAGTACAGTTTGTGTTGGATGGGAAATAGTTATTCCTCAAAGAGATATTAGGCTTGATTTTCAAATTATTAAATTCCAAATTTGTGTAAAGTCAAAACAATTCTGACTTGCGGATAGTCGCCTATAATGAGTTAGACTATTACAAAGAATGCAACAGTACATTAATAATTTGAAACTAAAATTGAGTGGTGAAACGAAAATCAATTCTAGCTGAGGAGTAAATGTGACTCAACCACATTAAGTTGTAAATTCTGATAGGAACAGGACTTGCGTGCCAGATTGAGGGTCTTACTTCCAAGCGATTCTCAGCAGCTCCTTCAGCAAAAGCATCGAGTTTGTCATTTGTTAAATCATTGTTGCTGAAGGTTAGGATCTCAGTATTTGTAGTTGATGCAACTTGAGCGAGTTTTCGAAATGCTGCAGGTTTCATTGATTTTTCTTCAATGACATTCAATCTATTGAGCTAGAGAAATATAAGACAAAATACAGTATATAGTTTGGGAACGGCAAAGCATTTTAGGGCATGGGTCAAATAGTAGATTTTTTACATGAAAGGAAAGACTATGGGCCATAGATATTTAAACAATGTCTGTGAAAAACACGCTCGGTTGTAATTGTTTCATTGGACATGATTGTGACTATGGAGTGCCCCTTTCCGAGAAATTAAAGATCAGTCCTGTAAATTAACTAATACAAATGTTTCATGGCAAGATATTTCAACTCGAATACTATTTTAGTACCTTTAACGCATGATCTGAAGCCCCCTCTGCGAATAAATCAAGCTTTTCATACGTTACATCGCAGTTGTCAAAGGATAAGACGTTGGGCCTGGTTACTGAGGCAACCTGAGCTAATTTTCTGAGCGACGATGTCTTTTCTCTTTTAACGATTAGTTGATGAAGCTGAAACAGATACGGCTTTAAATATTAATCGATAATTGAAATACTAAATGATTATGTGAAACGTAATGTCACCACAGAATATCATCCTCACAGAAATAGAAAATAAATCATGTAAAATGCGCAAACGAATGAAAAATCTTGTAGGTCGTTGTTTTGTAAACAAGATTTAGTAATATATATATATATCTTTTAAATTATTCACTGAGTCAGCCCGGCAATTAAGTACAGTTTGTGTTGGATGGGAAATAGTTATTCCTCAAAGAGATATTAGGCTTGATTTTCAAATTATTAAATTCCAAATTTGTGTAAAGTCAAAACAATTCTGACTTGCGGATAGTCGCCTATAATGAGTTAGACTATTACAAAGAATGCAACAGTACATTAATAATTTGAAACTAAAATTGAGTGGTGAAACGAAAATCAATTCTAGCTGAGGAGTAAATGTGACTCAACCACATTAAGTTGTAAATTCTGATAGGAACAGGACTTGCGTGCCAGATTGAGGGTCTTACTTCCAAGCGATTCTCAGCAGCTCCTTCAGCAAAAGCATCGAGTTTGTCATTTGTTAAATCATTGTTGGTAAAGATTAGGATCTCAGTATTCGTAGTTGATGCAACTTGAGCAAGTTTTCGGAATGCTGCAGGTTTCATTAATTTTGCTTCAATAACATTCAATCCATTGAGCTAAAAAAAAATGGTAGAATAATACAATATTCAGTATAAGTTTGGTTAAACTGTTTAAGGCATGGATCAAATAATATATTTTACATATGAAAAACAAAAATGCTTGTCACAGATATTCAAACAATGTCTTCGAAAAACATGCTTAGTTTCGTAGTTGATGCAACCTGGGAAAATTTACTAAATAATGCAGGTTTTATCAATTTATTTTATTGAGATTTATTGTGTTGAGCTGAAATGACAAACTTTCGTTATGAGACTGCATCATACTGCAAAAAATCGATTACTCTTTACAAACTATTGGTGGTAAAGAAAAAAATGAATATGAAATACTACCTCATGCAAAATTAACGATCAGTCCTGTAAATTATTCAATTAAATAACAAATGTTTCATGTTTCATGACAAGGTTTTAAACTCTAGTACTATGTTTGTACCTTCAAAGTATGATCTGAAGCCCCCTTTAAAAAGGAATCAAGTTTATCACAGGTTACATCGCAGTTGTCAAAAGATAAGACATCAGGCCTGGATACTGACGCGACATGAGCTAACTTGCTGAACGCCGATGTATTTTCTCTTTGAATGATTAGTTGATGCAGCTGAAACCAATACAGCTTTTTATTGGAATGCTAAAGGATTATTTGAAACGTAATGTCACTTGTCGCCACAGCATATCATTCTTACAATAATAGCAAACACATATTGTCAAATGTGCAAAAAAATGAAAAAATTTATAAGTTGGTATTTTTATAAACTTAAATATTTAAACATTTATTCACCGTGTCAGCCTAGCTATAACGTATATTCTGTGGCCGGTCGAAATAATTGTTCCAGAATTTTTCGAAACGATATCCGTTTTGATTTCCGAAATATTACATTCAAAATTCGTGAAAAATCGTGCAATTCTTCATGCAGACCAGAGAAATGCGTACAGTCGCCTTCAATGAGCGATTATAGAGAATGCAACAGTACATTGACATTTCGAAACTAAAATTGGCTTTTATCTACTTATACTTAAGAGTAAGTGTCACTCAAGACTTGTGGGGTTGAAATTCTTATAAGAACCGGACTTTAGTGCCAGATTAAGAATCTTACTTTCAAATGATTCTCAGCAGCTCCTCTAGCGAAAGCATCGAGTTTGTCACTTGTTAAATCGTTGTTGGTGAAAATTAGGATTTCAGCATTTGTAGTTGATGCAACTTGGGCAAGTTTTTGGAATGCTGCAGGTTTCATTGACTTCTCTTCAATGACATCAAGTCTATTGAGCTAGAGAAATATAAGATGGAAAAAATACAGTATTTGAAATATTCAAACGTAATGTCACTTGTTGCCACAACATATCATCCTCACAGAAATTGCAATCACATGTATATTGTAATATGTACAAACGAATGAAAAAACTTGTAAGTTGGTATTTTTATAAATATAAGATTAGGTCTATTTTTTCCTCAACTATTCACAGTGTCAGTTCAGCTATGAAGTACATTTTGTAGTCGGTGGGAAATACTTGTTCCATAATTTTTCAAAGAGATAACATGTTTGACTTCAGAATTATTAAATTCAAAATCCATGAAAAGTCGTGCAATTTTTTTTTATGCGGGCCAAAGACTTGCGGACAGTCGCCTTTAATAAGTTGGACTTTTTCAAAGAATGCAACAGTAAATTAAAGTTCAGAAAATAAAATTGACACGTATCAACTCAAGATTTGGAACAAATGCAACTTAAGACTCATGAGGCTGAAATTCTGATAGATTGTTCTAGAATCTAGCTTACTCTCAATCGCTTATCAGCAGCTCCTTGAGCAAAAGCATCGAGTTTGTCATTTGTTAAATCATTGTTGCTGAAGATTATGATCTCAGTATTTGTAGCTGATGCAACCTGAGCGAGTTTTTGGAATGCTGCAGGTTTCATTGATTTTTCGTCACTAAGATTCAATCCATCGAGCTAGAGAAATATAAGATAGAAAATACAGAAAAAGTATGGCATACCTTTTTTTAGAATGAGAAAATGTTATATTTTTATTACGAAAAATGAGAAAGCGGATCGTAGATATTCAAACAATGTCTGCACAAAACCATTCTAGTGGAGTAGTTGATGCAACTTGAGAGCAAATTTACGAACTGTCACAGGTTTCATTAATTTGTCTTCAATAATATTCAACGTTTTGAGCTTAAATAACAAACTTTCGGTGTGAGACTGCATTAGACTTTAAAAAATGATTACTATTCACAAATTCTTTGTTCATTAAAATATATTATTCAATTATTTACTTACAAACTATTGCTTGGGAAAGAAAAAATGAATATAAACTTCTACCTCACGAGAAATTAACGATTGGTGCTGTAAATTATCTAAATAAAAGTGTTTCTTGTTTCATGACAAGGTTATCAACTTCAATAATATGTTTGTACCTTCAACGCATGATCTGAAGCCCACTTTGCGAATGAATCAAGTTTTTCATACGTTACATCGCAGTTGTCAAAAGATAAGACATTGGGCGTGGTCACCGACGCAACTTGAGCTAATTTGCTGAACGCCGATGTCTTTTCTCCTTTAATGATTAGTTGATGAAGCTGAAACAGATACAGCCTCAAATATCAATTGTTCATTGACATACTAAATGATTATTTAAAATGTAAAGTCACTTTTCTCCACAGCATATCATCCTTACAGAAAAAGCAAACGCATCATGTAAAACGGCGTCCCAACCCGTTTTTGCAACGGTCTCCTAATTTTTATTCAAAGTCGTAGGGACTCCCAAGTGTTTATTGGAGATATCCGAGTTAAATCACTTGCTGTCTTAATAGAACTATTTAATTTATGCGTACTACTATTATTACCATATTTAATTTTAGACTGCCAGCATGGTATGCTTGTGGGCCTTGCTTGTTGAGTTTGAGTTTTTCATTTCGATTGACAATGTTTGCATATTTCTTCTGATTCCAATTTTAAATATTCTATTATCAAAGCACTTTAATTAGTTTAGCTGTGATAGGTTTATACAATTATTTTAATTCAGAAGAAATGTACTCATTTAAAATAATTAGCATTCCATCTATGGACCCCCTGTACTCGAGTTGTAGACCCCTGGGCGTCCGACTACCTGGACCCACTTGGGAAGCCCTAGTAAAATGTGCAAAACAAGTGAAAAATCTTCGTAAGTGGGTATTTTTATAAATATAACATTTATTAAAAAATTTTATAAGCTATTCACTGTGTCAGCCCAGCTATGAAGTACATCCTGCAGTAGGTGGGAAATATCGTATTTCCCGGCGAATAAGTCTACCCGGCAAATAAGACGAGGCCCGTTTTTGAGCCTGAAAATGGGTTTTTGCATATATCCTGCCAATAAGACGGGTAGTAAAATTGCATCATAATCGGAATCTCAAATTACCATGCAACGGCTTCTGAGCGGTCGTCGCGTTCGGCGCATTGGTTAAAATAGCCTATATTATATTGACATTTTCTTGTAGCGTAATATTCAATCCATAGCAACTACGGGAATTCAAACTATCTCCCAATTTTAATCTAATTGTGTTCAACGTAACTGGCGATTGCGATCACCATATAAGAACATTACCGATCTAAAATAACATGGAAATCTGCGGACATAATAATGTGAGATAAACTACCTGATTATATTTAGTTTTTATAAATAGATATTCATAGAAAGTGTATATATGAAACATACATATTCATCACCTCGAAATCTCCACAAAACAAAATGTGTTGCTCCAATAATTTATTTGTGATCAATTTAATCTGCGATTGCGACAATATAAATAGTATCACTGCTCCCAAATTACGAACGCAATGTGTGGACATAAACTTGTATAAATATACGTTGTTTTGATTAGTATTTTTGCAATTTAAAAACATATCTGCGCTGCAACAATTATTACCTTTATCGCAATGGTGCCACTTATTGTTTCAACGATTTCACGGTAGGAAAAAACCTTAGAGCAGCGATAATATGAAAGATGTTTACAGTCAAATAAGACATCACACTGACAAAAGCAATTGCCGATTTCCACAAATTGCAATCCCATGTGTATCGGTAATAGCACTTCACTCGTGATGCACACACAAATGCGCCAACTTCAAATATGATAATCACAGCATTGACATTCCAGATTGACAGCGCGAGAACGTCGATTCATTTAAACTGACCTGATGAGGACGTGGGGGATGCTATCGCCGAAGGTATTTTATGGTGCGGATTGAATAATGAGGCGACACCAAAAGATGAAAATTATCATACTCGCCTAATAAGACGACCCCCACAAAATCAGGCCAAAAATTTGGGTCTAGAAAGCAACTTATTCGCCGGGAAATACGGTAGTTGTTCCATAATTATTCAAAGAGATATCATGTTTGACTTTATTATTAAATTTAAATTCGTGAAAAGTCGTGCAATTTTTTATGCGGGCCAAAGACTTCCGGACAGTCGCCTTGAATAAGTTAGGAGATTATGAAGAATGCAAGAGTAAATTTAAATTCAGAATATAAAATTGACTCGTATCAACTCATGCTTAGGGGCAAATGTCACTCAAGATTCATGAAATTCTGATAGGAAACGAAATTGAGTGCCAGATTGAGGGACTTACTTCCAAGCGATTCTCAGCAGCTCCATCAGCAAAAGCATCGAGTTTGTCATTTGTTAAATCATTGTTGGTAAAGATTAGGATCTCAGTATTCGTAGTTGATGCAACTTGAGCGAGTTTTCGGAATGCTGCAGGTTTCATTGATTTTTCTTCAATAACATTCAATCCATTGAGCTAAAGAAAAAAAAATTTAGAATAATACAATATTCAGTATAGGTTTAGTTAAACTGTTTAAGGCATGGATCAAACAATATATTTTACATATGAAAAACAAGAAAGCTTGTCACAGATATTCAAACAATGTCTTCGAAAAACATGCTTAGTTGAATGGTTGATGCAACCTGAGAAAATTTACTGAATAATGCAGGATTTATCAATTTATTTTATTGAGATTTGATGTGTTGAGCTAAAATGACAAACTTTCGTTATGAGACTGCATCAGACTTCAAAAAATCGATTACTCTTTACAAACTATTGGTGGTAAAGAAAAAATGAATATGAAATACTACCTCATGCGAAATTAACGATCAGTCCTGTAAATTATTCAATTAAATAAACAATGTTTCATGTTTCATGGCAAGGTTTTAAACTCTAGTACTATGTTTTGTACCTTCAAAGCATGATCTGAAGCCCCCTTTAAAAAGGAGTCAAGTTTATCACAGGTTACATCGCAGTTGTCAAAAGATAAGACATCAGGCCTGGATACTGACGCGACATGAGCTAACTTGCTGAACGCCGATGTATTTTCTCTTTGAATGATTAGTTGATGCAGCTGAAACCAATACAGGTTTTTTATTGGAATTCTAAAGGATTATTTGAAACGTAATGTCACTTGTCGCCACAGCATATCATTCTTACAATAATAGCAAACAGATATTGTAAAATGTGCAAAAAATGAAAAATATTTATAAGTTGGTATTTTTATAAACTTAAATATTTAAACATTTTTTTAAACTATTCACCGTGTCAGCCTAGCTATGAAGTATATTCTGTGGCCGGTGGAAATAATTGTTCCAGAATTTTTCGAAACGATATCCGTTTTGACTTCCGAAATATTGAATTCAAAGTGAAAAATCGTGCAATTCTTTATGCAGACCAGAGATTTGCGTACAGTCGCCTTCAATAAGCGATTATAGAGAATGCAACAGTACATTGACATTTCGAAACTAAAATTGGCTTTTATCTGCCTATGCTTAGGAGTAAGTGTCACTCAAGACTTATGGGGTTGAAATTCTGATAAGAACCGGACTTTAGTGCCAGATTAAGAGTCTTACTTTCAAACGATTCTCAGCAGCTCCTCTAGCGAAAGCATCGAGTTTGTCACTTGTTAAATCGTTGTTGGTGAAAATTAGGATTTCAGTATTCGTAGTTGATGCAACTTGGGCGAGTTTTCGGAATGCTGCAGGTTTCATTGACTTTTCTTCAATGACATTAAATCTATTGAGCTGGAGAAATATAGGATGGAAAAAATACAGTATTTGCAAAACGAATGGTGAATCTTTTTGAGGGATGTTAAAAATATTTATATTTATTACGAAAAAGTAGACTGTGGGTCATAGATATTAAAATAATGTCTGCAAAAAACTTACTTAGTTGCGAAGTTGATGCAACTCGAGCAAATTTACAAAATGATGCAGGATTCATTAATTTTTCTTTGTTAACAAATTTTTGTTGTGATACTGCATTAGACTTTTAAAAAAATGATTACTATTTCCAAACTCTTGGTTTATTGAACTATATAATTTAAATATATATTTCAAACTATTGGTTGAAAAAGAAAGAAAATGGCTTTAAAGTTTTACCTCACGAGAACTATCGATCAGTCCTGTAAATTATCTTAATAAATGTTTCATGGCAAGGTATTTCAACTCTAATACTATGTTTGTACCTTCAAAGTATAATCTAAAGCTCCCTTTGCGAATAAATCGAGTTTATCATAGGTTACATCACAGTTGTCAACAGACAATACATCGGGTCTAGTTACTGAGGAAACTTGGGCTAATTTGCTGAACGCCGATGTATTTTCTTTGTGAATGATTAGTTGATGCAGCTGAAACAAATACGGCTTTAAATATTAAGTGTTTATTGAAAGAAAAAATAAATATTTATTCAAACGTAATGTCACTTGTTGCCACAGCATATCATCCTTACAGAAATAGAAATCACACGTAAATTGTAATATGTACAAACGAATGAAAAATCTTGTAAGTTGGTATTTTTATAAATATAAGACTAGGTCTGTTTTCTTTTCTCAACTATTCACAGTGTCAGTCCAGCTATGAAGTTACATTTTGTAGTCCGTGGGAAATACTTGTTCCATAATTTTCCAATGAGATATCATGTTTGACTTCAGAATTATTAAATTCAAAATTCGTGAAAGGTCGTGCAATTTTTTTTTATGCGGGCCTAAGACTTGCGGACAGTCGCCCTTAATAAGTTGGACTTTTACAAAAAATTGCAACAGTAAATTAAAGTTCAGAAAATAAAATTGCCTCGTATCAACTCAAGATTTGGAACAAATGCAACTCAAGACTCATGAGGTTGAAATTCTGATAGATTGTTCTAGAATCTAGCTTACTCTCAATCGGTTATCAGCAGCTCCTTGAGCAAAAGCATCGAGTTTGTCATTTGTTAAATCGTTGTTGCTGAAGAAAATGATCTCAGTATTTGTAGCTGATGCAACTTGAGCGAGTTTTTGGAAGGCTGCAGGTTTCATTGATTTTTCTTCAATAAGATTCAATCCATCGAGCTAGAGAAATATAAGATAGAAAAAAACAGAAAAAGTATGGCATACCTTTTTTGAGAATGGGAAAATGTTATATTTTCATTACGAAAAATAAGAAAGCGGATCATAGATATTCAAACAATGTCTGCATAAAACCATTCTAGTGGAGTAGTTGATGCAACTTGTTATCAAATTTACGAACTGTCACAGGTTTCATTAATTTGTCTTCATTAATATTTAACGTTTTGAGCTTAAATAACAAACTTTCGGTGTGAGACTGCATTAGACTTTAAAAAATGATTACTATTCACAAATTCTTTTTTCATTAAAATATATTATTCAATTATTTACTTACAAATTATTGCTTGGGAAAGAAATAAAATGAGTATAAACTTCTACCTCACGAGAAAGTAACGATTGGTGCTGTAAATTAACTAAATAAAAGTGTTTCTTGTTTCATGACAAGGTTTTCAACTTCAATACTATGTTTGTACCTTCAACGCATGATCTGAAGCCCCCCTTACGAATGAATCCAGTTTTTCATACGTTACATCGCAGTTGTCAAAAGACAAGACATTGGGCCTGGTCACCGACGCAACTTGAGCTAATTTGCTGAACGCCGATGTCTTTTCTCTTTGAATGATTAGTTGATGGAGCTGAAACAGATACGGTCTCAAATATCAATTGTTCATTGACATACTAAATGATTATTTAAAATGTAAAGTCACTTTTCTCCACAGCATATCATCCTTACAGAAAAAGCAAACGCATCATGTAAAACGGCGTCCCAACCCGTTTTTGCAACGGTCTCCTAATTTTTATTCAAAGTCGTAGGGACTCCCAAGTGTTTATTGGAGATATCCAAGTTAAATCACTTGCTGTCTTAATAGAACTATTTAATTTATGTGTACTACTATTATTACCATATTTAATTTTAGACTGCCAGCATGGTATGCTTGTGGGCCTTGCTTGTTGAGTTTGAGTTTTTCATTTCGATTGACAATGTTTGCATATTTCTTTCGATTCCAATTTTAAATATTCTATTATCAAAGCCCTTTAATTAGTGTAGCTGTGATAGGTTTATACAATTATTTTAATTCAGAAGAAATGTACTCATTTAGAATAATTAGCATCTCATCTATGGGCCCCCTGTACTCGAGTTGTAGACCCCTGGGCGTCCGACTACCTGGACCCGGTTGGGAAGCCCTAGTAAAATGTGCAAAACAAGTGAAAAATCTTGGTAAGTGGGTATTTTTATAAATATAACATTTATTAAAAATTTTTATAAGCTATTCACTGTGTCAGCCCAGCTATGAAGTACATCCTGCAGTAGGTGGGAAATATCGTATTTCCCGGCGAATAAGTCTACCCGGCAAATAAGACGAGGCCCGTTTTTGAGCCTGAAAATGGGGTTTTGCATATAACCTGCCAATAAGACGGGTAGTAAAATTGCATCATAATCGGAATCTCAAATTACCATGCAACGACTTCTGAGCGGTCGCCGCGTTCGGCGCATTGGTTAAAATAGCCTATATTATAATGACATTTTCTTGTAGCGTAATATTCAATCCATAACAACTACGGAATTCAAACTGTCTTTCAATTTAACCAGCGATTGCGTCCACCATATAAGAACATTAATCATCTAAAATAACATGGCAATCTGCGGACATAATATTGTGAGATAAACTACTACTACTAGATAAACTACTTATATTTAGTTTTTATAAATAAATATACATAGAAAGTGTATATATGAAACATACATATTCATCACCTCGAAATCTCCACAAAACAAAATGTGTTGCTTCATTAATTTAATTGTGATCAATTTAATCTGCGATTGCGACAATATAAATAGTATCACTGCTCCCAAATTACGAACGCAATGTGTGGACATAAACTTGTATAAATATACGTTGTTTTGATTAGTATTTTTGCAATTTAAAAACATATCTGCGCTGCAACAATTATTCCGCTTTATCGCAATGGTGCCACTCGTTATTTTGACGATTTCACGTTAAAAAAAAACCTCAAGACAGCGATAATATGAAAGATGTTTACGGTCAAATAAGACATCACGCTGACAAAAAAAATTGACGATTTTCACAAATTGCAATCCCACGTGTATCGGTCATGGCCACACAAATGCGGCAACTACAAATATGATAATCACAGCATTGACATTCCAGATTCACAGCGCGAGAACGCCGATTCGTTTAAACTGACCTGATGAGGACGTGGGGGATGCTATCGCCGAAAGTATTTTATGGTGCGGATTGAATAATGAGCCGACACCAAAAGATGAAAATTATCATACTCGCCTAATAAGACGACCCCCCCCCCCCCCCCCCAAAAAAAAAAAAATCAGGCCAAAAATTTGGGTCTAGAAAAGCGACTTATTCGCCGGGAAATACGGTAGTTGTTCCATAATTATTCAAAGAGAAATCATGTTTGACTTTATTATTAAATTAATATTTCGAAAACGAAATTTGGATCGTATTATTTCAATCTTAGAAGAAAATGTGACTCAAGACTTATAGGATCGACATCTTGATGAGAACCGGACTTGAGTGCCAGGTTCAGAGTCTTACTTTTAAACGATTATCAACGGCTCCTCTAGCGAAAGCATCGAGTTTGTCTTTTGTTAAATCGTTGTTGCTAAAAACTAGAACCTCAGTATTAATAGTTGATACAACTTGAGCTAGTTTTCTGAATGCTGCAGGTTTCATTGATTTCTCATCTTCAATTATTAAATGCTTGAGCTGTAATAAATAATTTCATATTAAATTTATATATATGCATTACTTCGGATGTATTTTCTTATTGTTAACCTGTCTGTTGGTTTAAATAATTACTTTTAAGAACTTTTTTATTTCTGTAGTGAATATCGCGAAGAAGGGTTTCTTTCTTTATAGGATTTTCAATTTATTTTTGCCTCCGAGTTATACAATGGCAGCGGTGTTCTCGTGATCTTCATTACAAGTGATGTTCTAGTTATTTTGTCCACAGATTCGTATTGGATATTCTGATTCCTCAGCAAGCAAACAATTGCTGAATAAATTGGGGCTTAGGTAAAACGTATAGACCTTTGATACCTTTAAGTTATGTTCTATAGCTCCCTGTGAAAGAGAGTGGAGTTGATCGTTCGTTAAATTGCAGTTTTGGAACCGTAATGCCGTAATGACTTTGAAAACTTTAGCAAGTTCATGGAAATCGACAAATTCAATTTCGCTTAGGCTCAACTTGTTGAGCTGTAAAATAGAATTTTTATATTCAGGTTTAAACGACAAGAAGCTCGAAACTGGATTTTTAGCGCTCCTACGCTTAATTGTAAGTATTATTTAGGATTCAAGGTTACAGTCGGTGGGTTTTTACAGTCATTGCAGGGTATAATCATATTTCACATTGCTTTTTGTCTGCCTTTTTTTTTCAAGGATATACCGCGTTGGTTAGTACGCACGCAAATTATTTCGTATGAAAACTAGCCGTAAATAAATTCATCAGGTCAGTATTCATTACCACTTATAACATTAGGATGTTTGTGTATGTGGGTGTAATGTGCGCGGGTGCTGATAAACATCAAGTGCAAATATCTATAAGTACAACTGTACTGGGTGCAAATGTACGTGAACGCAAATACATGTTGGTGCAAACGTACATGGGTGCAAATGTACGTGGCGCAAAGGAAAGTGGACGCAAATGCGCGTAGGCGCAATTGTATGTGAGTGCAAATAGACGTGGGCGCAAATGTACATGGGTACAATTAGACGTGGGCACAAATGTATGTGGGTGCAGTTGTGTCCATGGATGCAAAATATATGCAGGTGCAAATGTCTTAGGTGTCCTTTACGGGTAATGAATGAATGCACCTTTAAATCATGCTCCACAGCTCCCTGTTCAAATGACTGCAGTTTATCCTTACTCAGATCGCAGTTGTCGAAAGCTAAGACCTTGGGATCAGTAACAGCTGCAAGTTGAGCTAATGTATGGAACGCAGGAGAGTTCATCGATGTATCATCAAGAATTAACAATTGGTTGAGCTGTAACAGATAATGCGCTTGTAAATCATCAAATATTTAATTTTGTGCGAACACACTGCAAAAATGGTAAAAATGCCTGTGTTCTAGTTGTGGTCACGAAAGATTGAAACTAATCATTGCCATACTTTAGTGATTCAAGGTGACGAGTAAGATTTTTTCTATAATATTTCTGTAATCTTATCATCAATGAATGTGAGCTTTTTTATTAACTTATTATGCTACTTCCCTGTAACATAATCTGAATATTCATTTATGGTAGATGCTAGATATTTAATTTTATATGTTTGATAACCTGTGAAATGTAAAGTTTATATTTCGGGGATCTAAGTCCCTATTTCTTATTGATATTATTTGCTTGCTTGGTACAGTTTAGCGCCAGCTCAGTAATAAAAAGTATTTCAATCGAATCATAGGAACTAATAAAGTTTTCAAGTCAACCCCCTAAAACTATAATACGGATATACCTTCAACTCAAAGCCAATGCTTCGTATATACAGATTCACGACAATAAACGTTTCCAGCTTTCAAAAATTAGATATAAATATGTGCATATACCTTCAACTCAAATTCAGATGCTTCACTTGAAAATGATTCAAGTTTATCTCTTGTCAAATCACAGCTATTGAAAGCTAAGACTTCTGGATTAGTAACCGAAGCAACTTGAGCTAATTCACGAAACGCTGAAGGGTTCATCGACTCATCTTGAACCACAAATTGTTTGAGCTGTAACAGATTACATGAGTTCATCTGTGAAGTTTAATATAGTGATTTGTGTTTTACTGACTTTCTCTAGATAATTCTATTAAAGCAACGATTGATCCATGAACTCGGAAATTTTACACATTCACTTTAAACAAGTTTTCGAACAAAAAGGATTTTGCCAAGGAGCAATTAATTTTTTAAGTATGCACAGTCAGCCTGCGCAATACTATTCGAAGTAAAATTGCTAGTCGGAGACGTATCTGAAATGTATATGAGGACTTTGTTCAGACTTTAAAAATGCAAATGTTTGCTAAGCTCTTACCTAATTGTCAGTCACAGATAAATGATTTCGGGTTTATTCAGGATGCAATAAAGTTTTGGGCAATGCAAATTTTAGGCAAAGTGTTTGGGCAATGCTTTTTTCACACGAATGGCTCAACTCAATCAATTTTTCAATAAAAATTCGTCAAATGCACTATCTCACTGCGTCATGAGTACTGACATAGACGTTTCGAGTAAAAAAAAAACAATAAAAGCTGATTTCTTGAGATGAAACTTGAAATAGGTGCGGTGAAAATTATAAAGTAATACTCTTCGTACAGATTTGGTTGGTAAATGTGAAATTTTTTTTTATCATTTCATCAGCCCTGCATTTTGTTAAAATATTTGTCATTATCGTTTTCCAAAATTGGTTACCTTCAGGTGGTGATCCAAAGCCCCTTGAGAAAATGAATGAAGTTTATTCGTCGTTAGAATGCAGTTGTTGAAGTGTATACTTTCAGTATGCGTGGTTGATGCGATTTGAGCAAACATACGAAATGCTGCAGGTTTCATCGAATTTTCGTCCATTAGGTGCAACCCGTTAAGCTGGCAAAATCAAATAAATTTTCAGTTTCATTAACCTCATAAAATCAGTGGCCTCTCTTGACTACCGTGTTGATTTTTACTAGATAAAATTCTAGATGAGACACGCGACCTTGTTTGAAATAAATGAATAGGCAAACAATTGAATTAGAAGAATAGGTGACGAGCATTCACTGGAACTATAGACTGACCATATTCAACCAGTAATGTTAACAAAGATCAATGAGCCATAATACAATCTTACAATCGAATCGATTGAATGTAAGCCTACTTACCGACAATTTATTGTCTATGGCTCCTTTTCCAAATGATTCGAGTTTATTGGTTGTTAAATTGCAGTTTTTGAAACGTAATGTCTTTGGTTTTGTAACTGATGCAACTTGGGCAATTTTACAGAAGTCCTCAGAATCCATCGACGTTTCTTCTTGTATCACCAACTGATCCAGCTGTAAGAAGCACTATATTAACACCATACTTTCGCTGTTATATTATGAATGTCACGCGTATAAATTCGAATGACAGTAACCCACTGTCCATTGTGTTATTGTAATTTGTTTTTACCATATATATATAATATAAATTCTAGCGGCAAAAATTTCATAAACCATGCCATTCATGGTCCCTTATATTACTTGCTCTATGCTTTTAAATATTTTTCTGCTTTTACCCGTATTTGTTTCTCTGATGCTCCTATAATGAATGCATCTAATTTATCCCTTGTGATATTGTTGTTGGCAAATACCAACAACTTAGTCTCGGTGATTGACGTGACTTCAGCAAGTGTTTCGAAAGCTGATGCGTTCATCGAATTTTCTAGTGCAATATGCAATGCATTGAGCTGAAAAAATTAATTCAATAACATAACTGAGGGAATGATAATAGAAATTAGTCCTCTCGTAAAACCCGATGTTCATATTTTTATACAAACCATTAATGGTATTTTTATGAAACGCACAAATGGAAAGCGCCATGATGGCCCTTCTTTTACGTTTCTTATCTTAACTGAGGAGTTGATATATTGTATGACCAGATGCCTGTTTCTGAAGTTTAGCAACAACAACTAACAACATTGATGTTTACAATGTGACAAGCTTTAACAACTGAAAGTTTTCAAAGAACTTTGATTCTTTATAGCGTTAGCGCCTGGGATTTTATTCCATACCTTCACTGGATGGTCGGAAGCGGCTTGTACGAAGGATTCGAGTTTTGCGTTTGTCAGATTGCAGTTGTTGAACGCCAAAATCTCAGGTTTAGTAACCGAAGCAATTTGGGCAAATTTATAAAACTCATTACGCTCCATTAATTTTTCTTCGCAAATCATCAACTTGCTGAGCTATAAATATAATAAAAAGGTTGTAAAGTATTTCACAATATATGAACAATGCCATGTAGAATAATGTGCGTCAAGCATATTTACTCTCGTGCCACACATGCTACCGTAAATATATATATATATTTATTCATATACGGTGGTACTGTTGTTTTAAACAATAAATGGCAACGACAAATCAAGTTTGCCTTGATCGATCAATATTATTATAACCAATATGTTTCAACAAATACATTAACATGACATCATTTACCAGGCAGACATCCACTATACGCTTGTGTATATCTAATTCGTGGCTCGGGTTCCAAATAGCAACTGTCATAATGGCGACTTCATAATAGCGACGTAATCAAGTGAGCGAGCGACTGTCAAAACAGCGACTGTCATCATGGCGACCGCTTAAAACAGCGACTGTCAAAACAGCGACTGTCATAACCAGAACCCTAATCTTAACGACCTTAAAATTAATGTGACACGACATGGAGTTACCTTCCAACGACCGACCAGGAAATTCGACTCAGTGAATTCAACTCAGTGAACACGAGTTAAGTCGCTGTTTTGACAGTCGCTGTTTTAATATGCCGCTGCTCGATAACCATTTTTGGTTCCCCGCGACTTCCCTTCCCCAGTAAAACTGTGTACTATCTTCTTGTAATTTGTGCCTGTGTTATTTATTTATTTTTTACTGGTTGGAAAAAAATAAACTTGATTGATGATATGGTCGCTATTATGACAGTCGCTGTTTTGACAGTCGCTATTTGGCCTGGATACCCTAATTCGTATTGACTGTTAACAAAACACCAAAATCAATGTATCTCTATTCATCAAACAATAGTCATTATGCGCCATTTGCTCATTTGAATGTTTTTGTAAATGCAAGTATATTTTACTTAAAGTTCTCTTAAAAGAAAGTTTCGAGCTAATAACCTAAAGCAGAAATACCATAAATACACATAAAGTTACCTACGGGTTTATCGCTGTTAATTCAAATACAACATTTGGCAATTTCGCCCTTCGATACGCTATACTAGTAATTCAAAAATTAACTAGAGCTGCGTGCAGCTTTAACAGGCTTCCCGCGTAAAAAAAAAATGAAGACGCGTTTTGCTCACTGGAGCGTGAAAGCGTGGTCAGTCATGCATAAAATTTGCAATTTATGATAGGGGACTTATTATCTGCATGTGATGTAAATTTCAAGTCTCTAAGTAGTGTCGTTCTCGAGAAGAAGATGAAAATGTAAAATCCTATATTGCTCACTGGAGCGTATCGCCGAGGTCACTCATGCGTATCCTTGACATATCGTATCCGGAACATGTCCATTAATCATTGTTATGAATTTCAACCCAATAGCACGTATCAATTTTGAGAAATCGCAAAAAAACTGAAGACGCGTTTTGCTCACTGGAGCGTGAAGCCGTGATCAGTCATGCATGAACTTTGCAATTTATGATGGGGGACTTATTATCTGCATGTGATGTAAATTTCAAGTCTCTAAGTAGTGTCGTTCTCGAGAAGGAGATGAAAATGTAAAATCCTATATTGCTCACTGGAGCGTATCGCCGAGGTCACTCATGCGTATCCATGACATATCGTATCCGGAACATGTCCATTAATAATTGTTATGAATTTCAACCCAATAGCATGTATCAATTTTGAGAAATCGCAAAAAAACTGAAAACACGTTTTGCTCACTGGAGCGTGAAAGCGTGGTCAGTCATGCATAAAATTTGCAAATTATGATGGGGGACTTATTGTCTGCATGTGATGTATATTTCAAGTCTCTAAGTAGTGTCGTTCTCGAAAAGGAGATGAAAATGTAAAATCCTATATTGCTCACTGGAGCGTATCGCCGAGGTCACTCATGCGTATCCTTGACATATCGTATCCGGAACATGTCCATTAATCATTGGTATGAATTTCAACCCAATAGCATATATCAATTTTGAGAAATTGCAAAAAAACTGAAAACGCATTTTGCTCACTGGAGCGTGAAAGCGTGGTCAGTCATGCATAAAATTTGCAATTTATGATGGAGGTCCTAATATCTGCATGTGATGTAAATTTCAAGTCTCTAAGTAGTGTCGTTCTCGAGAAGAAGATGAAAATGTAAAATCCTATATTGCTCACTGGAGCGTATCGCTGAGGTCACTCATGCGTATCCTTGACATATTGTATCCGAAAAATGTCTATTAATCATTGCTATGAATTTCAACCCAATAGCATGTATCAATTTTGAGAAATCGCAAAAAAACTGAAGACGCGTTTTGCTCACTGGAGCGTGAAAGCGTGGTCAGTCATGCATAAAATTTGCATTTTATTGCTAGCTGAGAACTTCTGCACATTTGAGGTGAATTTCAAGTTTGTAGGACCAATTTGAAAAAAAAAATAATAAAAATAAATAATAATAATAATAATAATAATAATAATAAATAATAATAATAAAACACAGGAATACAATAGGTTCCCTGCTGACAAGCAGCGGGAAGCCTAATAAATAATAATAGTAAATAATTGATAATAATAATAAATAATAATAATAATAAAACGTAGGAATACAATAGGTTCCCTGCTGACAGGCAGCGGGAAGCCTAATTAACTAAGGAAAATAATGCGATAATAATACTTTTAACTCGTGTTCTGAGGCTCCTTGTAGAAACGAATCCAATTTGTCATTTGTTAGGTTGGAAGCGGCTAATACCAAAGTCTCCAAGTTTATATTTGATGCAAGTTCGGCAAGTTCAAGATATAGTGAAGCTTCTGATTTTTTATCTTGAAAAGCCAATGATTTGATCTGTGTCAATAAATAACGTCGTTCATAAAAACATCTCATGCTAAGACATTATTATAAATTAAATTAGACAATAGCTAACAGTTACAAACTGTACGCTTGATAAATAGTGGTCAATGATAGATGACTTAATATAGAAAGAACCATTTTTATACTGAGACCAATGTGTAAATGCGGTGGTAAAAATAGTGTATTGACAAAACCCCGAGTTTAGACCGTTTAGCATTAACATGAGTATGTTGCGCTTTGGCACTAATTGAACGTGCAAAATGTTTCGTAATGTATTTGACTACTGTTGGATTTCCCTGTCTTTATAGTAAATCTAAGTTAGGATCCTATATTTAAGTCTAGTAGAGGAAATTGCCAAGACATGTTTCCCTAATACCATTTTTAAAATGCATTTTCAAAATATGTTTACTCGTAAACCATCATCACTTTTTAGTACCACAATTTGACAAATGCAGTTATGTGGGATCGTTTGGGCGTTAAGCTGGCAAATGGAAGGCGAATATATTTATATAGATTAGATACCGGTATATACTTTTCAGGTGAACAAGCTGACTTACGAAAATGTCTCGATTTCTCGCAGTTTTATTAAACGATTGTAATTTTTCTTCGGTAATATCACAATCGATCACAGCGAGCAAGCTCACATTTGAATTAGCAACCGCATTTGCGAGATTACTATAGGCGTCTGGATCCATGACTTTTTCACGTTGAATTTCGAGGTTGTTAAGCTGTCAAATGAAAAAGGTGGTGAAGCTAATTTTATCACATTATTTGATATTTATATATTTAAATTATATAATATTGGGTGGATAGAGAATTATTCAGAGTCCATTTCTGATGACAACGTTGTCGGTCGACGAGACACGACAACAGTGAGTCAGATTGTAGACAGTTAGTCTTGTTCTTCAAGTTGTTTGTATTTATTGTTGTTTTAATTAGTTTATTAGAGACTTTGGGTTGTTCATACGATATGATTATTAAAACCCGCAACTTTGTATACAATATTTATATTAATAACATATCCCAGATAACTTACTTGCAATTGAAAGTCAGCTGCTCCAATTGCAAATGAATCAATATTGCCATTAGTAAGGTTACATGCACTAATTGCCAGATCTTTTGTTTTTGCATTTGATAACATTTCTGCGAGTTTATAAAATCCAGTCCCCAGCTTATCCTCTCGTCCAAGTAAGAACCCCTGCACCTATGTAAATAAATTGTCCAAGTAACGAAATTAATGGTGAACAGAGTTACACATTTGATAAAAACTAGAAGCGTAAATTACGTAAGTCGCAAGCAAACATGTCTCTTAAAAGTGTTTGCAATGCTGTTATTTGGGATTTCAACTCAAATAGGATTATGGAAACAAACGAGTCACTGTGCCGTGTTGTTACGCCTCGCTGTTCACTAAATGTTAAGCTATGCCAATTATCTACACCAGAGGTGGCCACCACGTCAAACGTGATCCAACGGTCGATTGCAACGTCTCCAGTAGTCGATCGCGTCTAATGTTGATTGAATTTAATAACATACCCCTAAAAATTGACCTGAACCAGTTTCATGCACTGCCTGTTTTGTTTAAAATAGGTAGATTTCAGTACTGTAGCCTACATGCGCAAAATAAGATATAAACGTACAGTATTCCAGTCCAGGCAATCCTACCATATTATTACGTAACAAATGCAGGTTTCTCAGATTTAAAATTGAACTTGGCCGATAATTGTGTCTTGACCGGCCTTGACTGACAAACGGTCCCGCAATAACTGTTGCAGTATGTGAAAGTTATTATCTTACTACAAGAGCAGCATGACAAATTTTATTTGCAACGATAACAGTAACGAAGCATTGGTTTTTGGGGTAAATTGTAGATCAGGTACTGAAGTTTGAGCAGTCATGAGTTGAGAATATTTATTTTTTGCTGTTAAAAGAATACATGGATGCCTGGCGAAACGATTGAAAATTAGGTTGAATCTGAATTGAATAATTTGAATAAATATCAAATAAACGTTGAAACATTTACTTCGAGTACAATTACAAAATCAAATTAACTAATTAAATTGAATATAAAAAATACTAATTTTCTGTGGTGATTTCATTGAGCATGCGCTCACTGAGCCAAGCTTATTGGCCGCCGTGGAATCCTTTTTATGCGTGTGTGCATTTATCTGCATATTCAGTACTCATTGGTTTTTGTATAGGACCTCATAACCGATTAGTCGATCGCGAGATATTTTAAAGATTTTGGTCGATTGCGGTCGAAGGCAGATTGGCCAACCCTGACCTACACGACTGGTGAATCAATAGTTAATCGATATGACAATAATTCTTGATTAAACAATCATACGCAAGATGTATGGGAGAATATCAGAATGAATATATTCTTAACAACTTTTCACCTCGACTTCTTGACCGAAAGCTTCCTTTAGAATTTCCAATTTTTCGGCAGTGAGATTAGACGATGCAAATCCAAGATAGGCATATTTCTTTTGTTTTCCTAGACTACGAATGATTTTTGCAGAGTAGTCTTCTTGCAGCACAAGCTTATTTAATGACCCCTAGAAATCAATAATAAAAAATACTAAATAATACCTTTTTATATTTACTTTTATTGCTATCGCGTATTTAACATAAGTTTTTTAATGTATATACTATGGCATTATAATTGATTACATGAAGAGTTGTGACGTCATTGTTGAAGAGGTCTCATAAATCGCTTATAGGTCTATTATTGTCTAAATTCAGCCCTGCTTACAGAGCATGCCTTATTCGTTAAACATTTATTTTTGAAAGACAAATTTGACTAAACTCAACAGCACTTTCGTCACAATTTCAAATGTAAATAAATATAGCACACTATGAGATGCAATCCATAACAATAGTTTATTTTATCGAACACACTGTTCCACACATTGAGTACAAATGAAAGCGTAAATGATTTTTACCTTTAACACCATGTCTGGTGACGTTAATAGTTTCTGAGCCAACAATTCATCGCATCGCAAGTAAACGCACATTTCAATTTCCATCACGTCGAGCAAATGCTCAAGTTTCTTGTAGTCCTTCAACCTAACTTCTTTTCCAATACCAACGTGTTTCATCTGCGTATAAAAATTTTGGAGAAAGATCACACTAGGGGTCAACGTGACACAATAAACTTAACTGGAGGCATGAGATGAGATGTGGAGCAGTTTCGTAAAGAAGAGGTGATAAATAATAAATATTACTGTTAGAGTTAGATCCTAGCTAAATATTTATAAAAAAACGAATTTGTAGTTTATTACGCTCTAAAATAGAAATACACAAAGCACATTAAGATACTTTTACCTACCTTCATGCCATCGACAAATTTGGATGATTCGTACATAAGTTGCAAGATATTTGAGTCTAACGTTATCGAGTCAGCTTTGAAGTATTCTAATGGCAAGCTTTTATTTGAAACAAACGCCAGCGCGTAATTTTCCATTGCGCTCATTGGGTTCACCATCCAAGTATCCTGTGAAATCTCAAATCGTTTTATCAAATTTTTAAATTGAGATATGACGTCTGGTCCACATTCGTGTAAGATAGACACAATATTGATGTCTGAGACCGTTCCACTGCGAAGAAAATTTCTTATTTGTGATTCGAGAGATGATTTTTGTCTTTTAATTCCGTCGTCTAAAACGTAAATAGTTCAAGATGTTAACTGTGAAAATATTTAAGTCATTCAGTTTTTCAGCAAATATGCACAAAGACGAGCAGGGTATGTGGCTTGAAAAATATGCTCAATGTAGCATGACGTGGTATCACTGGCAATCAGCTCCATTGTTATTTTAAGTCTATAATTTTTCGTTAATTTCCAAACGGCATTGTATTTGGAAGTACGATTACCGCATGTATTATCTAGTTTTTTTCAAGCCCCTAAAACATTCAGTTACCCCATCTGGTTCATGCATCTACAAAAATGAACCTCGGTAACCATACAAGATGCGTAAAATCAACAGATCAATTGTATTAGTATGTCATGAACGTTGGAGCAGCGTTATTGCCTGTAGCTACATGCCGGTATACTATAGTATTTCACCTGTATTTTAAATTAAGGCCGGTCTTAATATCAGTTTTCATGAGTGACATTTTCAGTATGGTTTTTGCAATAATTCACTGTGGATTGGTTATTTTGTGAGTGACCAGTGGGTCAGTGGTTTGTCGTCTCTGGAATAGACCTAGATCTTATAGATTCCAAATATAATTTGACAAATATCATAATAAAGCATTATTTAAAATAAAATAAAAAAACAAGCATTATAAAAGCAAGCTCACCAGGTACATATCTTTCACTGAATTTATTCGTCATCGGGTTCAAGACGATCCCATACAAAAATTTTCGAGTACTTCCCCATTGATGATCGTTAAGCTCAGTCGAAATAAAAATATCAAATTCGTTTTCTTCAAAATTGAGGAGATGGAAAGCAGCAAGCAGTTCCTGCAGAAGTTGAAATTAGTCGATGTGGACAAAAGATTATCCCAATCACAAAACAAAATCAAATCACAAATTCGACAATTCTGCGCTAATAAATGGGATCAACATTTTATACAAATTGACCAAGCGTTTCATTACAAGACAATTTTCCCCTCAATTGAAGACAGCATCAAGAATTCCACTTGGTCACCACGAATAATGGACAAAATTTTACTTCGACTTCAGACGGGACATTGCCGTTTAAATGGGCACCTCCATTAAATAGGATGCCATAATAATGGACTTTGCAATTTCTGTAATGATCCAGAGACAGTAGAACATTTTCTAATGAACTGTCGTGCATATAGAAATGAAAGACGCATACTAAAGATAAAATGCCGCGATTATGGCATTGAATTTCAACTCAAAGCTATCTTACGCGACCCTAGCATTTTCCCTGCTCTTGTTGATTTTGTGAAATCTACCAAGAGAGTATTATAGGCATATACAAAATTTTGATTTAAATTGTCTGGCGCAAAAGACTCAAATTGTTTAAAGCGCCATATATTACCATACCACACACACAGATCGAAATTGTGGCTATATTGTAAACATTTTTTATATTATGCGTCAATGGCACACTTACTTGTATAGATTGGTGTAGGAATTTGACATGCATATTTGATTCCTGATTACTCCTTGTTGACACAAGTATTCCGAGATCTGATATATTTAATCCCAGATTTTCTACATCAGCTATAGGAAACGAGAAGATATTCCCTTTTATGCCATTGAATGCAAGTTTCATTAAATTCCTCATGTCTGATTTGGAATAGTTTAACTTTGTGAAATAATTAAGAACGGAAACCATTACGCCCGACGCAGTATCTGGAGTCTCTGCTTCATTTTGATCAATGAATTGTAAATGTACAGCCATATACATGAGAAACATTGGGTTCTTGCAAAGAGAAATAACACTCGGAATTTCGATAAGCTCGTATTGTATTGCTTGTTCTAGCGCATTAGAAACAACTAGATCTGACAGTACTTCTGTAATATCGTCGTCATTAAATCCTTTCAGGACTACGACCTTTGAAGGTTTTTGATTTGGATCCAAGTCCCAGTAGGTTTGCCAGCGAGCAGTGGATAAGATTTTCATGCCTGGATATAGGGAGCCGGATAAAACATTTGCCAATATAGTGTTTGTTTTTCCTTTGAACTTGGGGTCAGCAATTTTTGGATAGCGCCCTCCAAACGATTCAGCGGCTTGATCTAGTCCATCTAAAACTAGGACAATATTCTCAGCATTTTCTTCTACCCATCGCGCACCAGCCTCCTTCAACCCATCTGGAATGCCTATTTGTTGCGTGAAAAGAAGATCGAACACATTGGATTTGGTTTCGTACTGAAGATCGGGTACTGAAACAAAAAGAGTCATTTTCGTCTTCCTGAGACATCTGATCTTTCCTTCCGAGACTAATCTTGCGTATTTCATGGCTGAAATTGTTTTACCAGCCCCGGTTTCACCCAGTAGCATGACGTGATCTGTTTTTGATCCTTTGAACTCCTCGTGTATTTGATCGATACAAATTTGCGTTTCATCGGTTCCCATCGCTTGAACGCCACCTAATTGATGATTACCAGTTCGCCTACCGAGATCGGGAATGGCTAATTTCGGTTGAACTTCGTTGTTCAGTTTCTGTAGCTCTTTGAATGACATTCGAACGTCATATTCAGTTACTTCGTGAGTATTTGATTGTACTTTTTGAATGAATTCTCTTTCTAAAAAACAATAATATCATTTTTAGGAATCAGTCCGCAATATGGTGCAAACAAATATGAGCTAATATAACCTGAAACGACTGCAATGCCTTCAATTTTAGACGAGGTCTAAAAGAATTCTTCAAAAAAATCATTTACTCAAACCACGATCATTATACCTACAATGCTGAAATGGTTTTAGACATTAGCTTGTACTCTCTGTAGAAGTTTACTATCGTTTACCTTATCGTTCAAACACCATCGCAGGTCAAACAAAATTTGACGTTTATTTACCGCCATCTCTGGAATCCGTATAAATACCTTTGTCCGCAAACAGGCAACGTTAACCATATTCTTCCACCATTACGTAGTACTGTTAGGTATAGTCAGTTTAGTTTGGATGATATTGTCTCACCTGGTCCTGAAAGAGTTTCCACCGGCATCGAAGCCTTTCCTCTAGACTGCAGGAACTGGGGAGAACCGAATGGTTCATCTTCAACCTGAGCTCGTGACGCTGAAATCCAAAATAAAATATAATTATTATTATATACATTTTACTTCTTGTAAGATCATTTCCGCCTGATTGATTTCCAATGACGAAATTTCCAATTTCCAGAATTTAGCTTAACAAATAGATCGAATTTAAAAAAATATCGAAAAACGCAGAGAAGTTTTTTTTATCACCCAATTCAACCACTCACCTTCATATCGAGTATTTTCATATTTGTCAAGTATTTCCATGAGGTTCTTGGTCGTAGCTAATTCCCCTAAAATTAGAAATTATTTAGAAATTTTGTACACTCCTTGGCTACCTATATGTTGCAAGCAGCTCTACCATATGTGTACATATCGGATTTTTTTTTATGAGAATGCTAGTATTGAATGCATGGACTTACTTCGAAATAAATAGGCCAGAAAATTCATACCCCTGGTATCAAGGATATCTTATTCTGTGTTCCACTTAGTTTTATTTTTAGCAAGGCTGCTCCAACCCGCAAAATATAAATGTTATAATTGCCCCTTCTTTTCTAGATAATTGTTTGAATCTGGACTTTCAATGAATAGTGTACTTTATTATAGTATTCCCCATTGTAGATTTATATCCAATATCGATAAATATCGGATTAGTTGCATATTATGAACTTGAAGTCAAGTCAAATATGGCTCAATATGGCTTGATTACATGTTGATGCGAAGCACGGCCATTTAATACATATGTGGTTGTAATTTTGAAGTAAACTTGATTTTATTTTCGTTTTCCGAGTTGTAAAATTGGACCAGATATCACAGCTTGCAAAAAAAATGAATTGATACAAGTTATTACGATTATATCAAGATATATATCATTCTGAATGATTATTTTATTTATTTATACACGTCGTGCAATTACTTACCAGCATTTTGCTTCCATTGTTTTAATAGACCAAGCATTTTGTTGACAGAACGTTTTTTGTCCTGATCAATTGTAGCCACATTGCTTTCATTCAGCGACAGACCATAACTAGATCGCGCGAAACGTTTGAATTCAGCTAAGTTCTTGAACTTATCAATGACGAAGAAATAAACATCTTCAAACCTCTCACCTAAAATATAGTTTTTTATAATATTGGAATCAAAATCTTGGAGCTTCGAGGATTTGAATGAGGAATGAAATTTAAATAAACGAAAAATGTTGTACTCTAAAAAGTACTCTATATGCAATAAAGTGTTCGATTAAAAAACTACTTCTTTGCTATAAAGAAGTTAAAAAAACCAATTCATTTTTGATTTGGCAAGCGTTTGAAAGAATTTAAAGATCCGAAGAAAATTTAAAACAAAAAAGATATACTTGTAGGATTTTGATTTTCATATCTCATTCTGTTGTAATTCTCAACTATTTCCAATATTCTTCCTGTTGTTGCAGAATCGCCTGAAGTATACAATAACATAATACAATAGCAGTTTTCTGTATGCCAACTGTGGTCTGTGAAGTTGGCTTTAACTCTTTGAACTCTGACGGCTCTGAGCGAAGTTACTCGCTCACCCTGAAGGTTCGCGCGCCGTATTAGTAGAACAATAAAATAATTCTAAATATTGGCTATTTGACACGCTTATAACGTTTTACCAATTATAGGTAGCACGTTGTGTGACATTTCAATCGAAAGAAAATTTTATCGTGCATTCAGAATGTATTTTCCCTTTTGAAATACATTTTGTCAAAAACAATAAAATTGACTCTAATCTAACAGTGATTTTTCTGCATGTAAGTGAGTTATGGCTCCAAATTTTGTTATTTTGGTACAAAATATACTGCCAATAATTGATGTTCATAAAGAGTTTTTTACAAGCTTTTTGTTGATATTCGAAATATTATTGTGGCTGCCGTATAACCAATTTTATATTTAAATATTCAATTGTGTATCATTGTGTCGGGTGAACAACTTCGATAAGCGGCCATGACGCACTGATTACGCAGCTCCGCAAAAGCCGATCACGTGACTAACGTCATGAAGACGTGTTACACCTGTTTCGGTCACATTTGATTATCGAACTATATCGATACGTTGCTAGCAGCAGTGAAAGCTTATAATTCATGCATGGGAGGGACTGATAAAAACGACCAGTTGACACGCCTACAAAAGTGCAGGAGGTATTATAAATGGCGAAGACGTTTAGTCATGAAGTTTTTCATGTGAGCGACGTACAATTCCTGCGTCCTAATGAATTTTGTCAAACCTCACGACATGAGAGGAAAAAGAATATTCACATTCCACAATTTTCTAGAACAACTATTTGAAGATCTCGCTGGAAAAGGGAAGATGTTGACGAAAAAATGCAAGATTGTGCAACCACAAGAAGATTTAACAGATAATAAAAGACTGCAACTAAACGTACGACACGACGTTTAAAAATATATAAACCGCAAAACGCCAGTTCTAATAATAGATGCGTCGTATGCAGTAAAATTTAACAGTATTGCCAAAAAAGCCAATCCAGCTGCTAAAGACAAAGAGTTGCCGGAACGATGCAAGGCAGCTATTTGCTTATGAATATAATTCAACATTTTAGTTTCACCAAACATTCCTAAATGTAGGCCCAAGCCTTATTTTGCTCGCTTAAATAAACAATAAACACAATACAATAGCACTTTTTGTTATCGGGATTCACTTTAGCATGAGACTGAATTTACGTTAAGTAAGTAAGATCGCATTCCGAAATGGCAGCCATTTTCTGATGAAGATACTTTAACATTTGAGTTTCAACCAAACGTTTCTAAATTTAGGCCAAAGGTTGATTTTAATAGCTTGTGCAATAGAATTGCGATTTTTCAACTCGTTCCCTTCACATTTTCATAACAATACTTTAGTCATGTTTCTATAAATGATTATTATTTATTTTAAACGAATGCGGCGTCAAATTACGCACCTGTATTTTGTTTCCACAGCCATAGCATGCTGAGCATTTGGTCAAGGAGATATTTTTTATCTTGTTCAATAGCAGTAACATCACCATCATGTAATGATAACCCGTTCTGGGATAGAGCGAAACGTTTAAACTCGTCTACGATTTGAAATGTTTCAACAATGCCGAGAAAAACATCCTCGAATCTTTCACCTAGATTAAAACGAGTAACAAAACTTATCACGCCATTAATATAAAGTTACTTGATATCACGGCATTTACTTTCAATATTAAATATGAATTTGGCATATAATTCGAATCATCTCAATGACATAATAAGACGGAATTTGCCATTATTCCTATGACTTGTGTGAAAATAAAATTGGGACACAAAAAAGATAATGGAAAAAGAGTTATCCTGTATTGAACAATTCTCGAATATACCAGAGTATATCTAAATGTCCTCATGTAATACAACAAGTCATAACGACATAGCGGCATTGCTACTAACGCCAAAGAGTCTGATCGGAAAACTTTAGGAATCTGACGATGTATAAAAAAGAAGAAAGCTAATAATGCAATTTACGAGTTTACAATTATGGTCCATGCTAGGCACGGATTTAATCGGTGTTGGTCCTCTAATAATATCATAATTTTTATGTCCTTATTTCTGACTGTTAATGAATGCAATATTTATAAGCAGAAAAAAATACAAACGAGGTAACTGAAGGGACACAACCTGTTAAAGGTGAACACTCGAAAACTTTTAATTAACAAACCCAAATCAGTCTTCAATTCAAATTTGAGAAGTTTACTTAAACAGATATACAAATATTATGTTATTTATATTCATTTCAAATTAAAAGCAAAATATCCTGAAAAGTTTTAATTTAAAAGTCCCCCATGCCTGAACTAATGGATGAACTAATGTTGTTTTCGTACATCGCGTTACGTTACCCATGTGCTTAGGTGCCCGAAATGAAATACTAGCAATCGCCAATGACCTGGAACAGCCTTGTGTTTTCTTGCTTCAAAGAAATCCTTTGTCACCTGTTTAATATTTTCAGCTGCCTCGTCTCCACCTGAATGACAATATATAGTTTCACAGTCAGACTGCTTGCTTTTCCTTACAATGACCCCCTTGATTGCACTCAAAATTGACATAACTATGGAGAGAATTGAATTTGGAATTTATTTTAAATTTTTGAGAAATAGGCGAAAACCAAATAAATCATCTTGTTCTAAAACCCTAGTCTTTAAATGTTTTTGGTGAAATATTAAATAGCGGTGACCAGTGTTTGTTCACTTTGTTATTGCCGGTGTAAACAGGTTTTAAATACCGACCGGTCTCGTTGCGAAGTTGTTATATTATATAGTTCACATGCATTCGTACTGTCACTAATAATAATTAATCAAATCCTGAAGGACTGATAGGGGTGTTAACCAGCAAGTGAGCTTTAGCGAAGTGCTAAGTTTAACCAGAACGATCACCATTATTTGACCCAATTTTTGAAAAAATATGGAATGGCATCAACTCTTATAAATAAATATGTTGGTATAATTTTACGTTATTGCATATTCACAAAATGAAAATATCCACAGGTAAATCAAATATATCTCACCGTTTTTTTCCTTCCAAAGATTTAAAATTGCACGTTTCTGGTTTTCCACCGACTCTGTGCTATGTTCTGTGATATCATTAACGTCCTGATAACTGAGTACAAGTCCGCATCCCGATTGTGCAAACATTTTGAATTGCTGCATAGAAGTAAACCTTTCAATCACTTTGAAGAAAGCATCTGCAGTTTTCTTGTCTGAAACATTAGAAATATAGAAACACATTAGAAATATGTGGAAATATATATAATTTAATAAATACGCCACGAATATTTGCAACGCAACATCAAACCCTCGTAAACATCGAACTTACAGGAATGGCAGTCGTTAAGCGTTATATATAATAGTATTATTTCAAAAATGTTG